GCTGCACCTTGGGCTGGACTGAAACCAGTTTACACGTGGCCTTACCCCTCGAGTTCACTAGGAGCGGGCGCTGCCATCCAGCGAGACTGGAGCAAGGGCCTGCTTGTGACCACACACTGCACAACAGCCCCTGTCCCGGGCAAGCCACCAGGCTCCGTGCAGCCAGTGTCATGCCCAGGCCGCTGTGGTCCCGCAGGGGCCTTAGCTCTTGGGGTTTATTTTACCACGGCTGGTTGGAACTAGCAAAGCCCATTGACTCCAAGCAGCTCAACCTCAACATGGTTTCCTTGGGGATTTTCCAGGGGGGGGGAAGCTACCTGGCCCCTTGGGAGGGGCTGGCTCCCTATTGGCTGGGAGTCTGCAGCCTGAAACGAGAGTCACCAGACTGAGGACCTTCGGCCCTCCAGGGCAGTTAACTTGCAAATGGGGAAATAAATACTTGGTGGGAACCAGGCCAAAGCACAATCCATATGCAGGTTGGTACGTTCCCAGAGCCACTCCTCCCAGGCCTGGCACCAAGGCAGCCATGCCAGCTGGCTGGAGAGCTGCGGCATTCGCTCTCACCTGGCGCTAACATCCCGCGGGCCCAGGGGCTGGAGCAGAACGAGGCGGTGTCCCTGCAGGAGGAGGGAACTGCTGGTTCTGGCAGAGGCCTCGCCCAGGGAAGGGAGCATCTGCACGGGAGGAAATGTCGCCCTGAAGACTCATTACACCAGTGAGCGTGGGATTCGCACCGGTATCACACACAAGTGAGCAGAGCCGCCCAGCTCAGTGCAGCGTGACTCTGTGTCACCTTCCCCAGGGTGGCTCGTTTGAGATAAATAACCAGCAGGCACCTGGCCAGGAGCACTTTGCAACTGCAGCATGACACGGTGCTGGAGACACCTGGGTGCTCTGCGTGAGCGTCTCTCCGCTCCCAAGCACTCCCTGCTGGTGGGACACAGCCAGGACCCTGCTCAGCAGCTGGAACATCCCATGGGGCTGGCTGAAGCTGACCACCAGCGATGCTTTCTCAGGGCATGTGAGGAGAAGCACAGCTCTGCTGTCCCGGCTGCTTTGTGTCACTCGGGAATACAGCAGTGCAACTGGGGCCAGGGCTGCAGGGTACCAGGCCCAAGGGTTTTAACCCCACAAGGGGGATGGGAGCACCCAGCTCAGAAGTCCCTGTCACAGCACTGGGACATTCGCTCCCTCCCTTTCCATAGCACCTTTAAATCCCTGAAGGGCTTTCCTACAGCCAGGGCCCACCTCCCCCAGTAGTGACATGCAGCCCCCTCTGGGCTGGGATTTGGCAGCTGTTTAACAGCACCCAACAACACCGCCCAGGGCAGGAAGTGCATCTGGGCATGGGGCAGAAACTGCCCTGGGTGACAGCCCCCTCCCAGCAATGCCCAAGCATAAAGTGCTCACCCAGTCTTGCTCCTGTTGGTCAGAGGGGCTGACCCATCCCAGGCCCCAGCAGGGGCTGACGGCTGCTTTGGAGTAGCCAGAAACAAAGGGCAGCCTTTTAGGTGCCCTGCAGCATGACACACCTGCATTACGGGCTGGGAACTGGCGCCTCGAGCTGCGCAAAACCCCAGAGCCCCCCAGAGCTGGGGTGTGGACTTGTAACAGCTGAGCAGGGAGAGCGCCCCCCACTGGGCCCCAGCACTGCTCCCTGGAGCCATTGTTCACAGAGACGTGGCGTTCAGCGCCGCAGTGAAATGCCGGGAGCCAGCACTGCCCCACGAGCCAGAGGAACGAAAATCCCCGGCGGAGAGATTCCTGTAGGACCAGGCCACTGTGGCAGCCCGGCGGTAACATGGCACTGTGCCCAGCCCAGCAGCAGTAAGGACCGGGGCAGTAAAGCCGAGGCACCGGGAACAGGAGAGGGTTACGCAGTTGTTAACCAGCAGTGAGCAGCGGGATTGTGACCATCCTCAGGAAGGTCCCTGTGCCCCTCTGTGCAGCACCCTGCCCATGCCAGGGTGAGGGGTGGGCGTGGGAGCAGCTGGGCTCCTGCCACACTATTCCCAGCTCGATGTCAACCAGAGATAAGGCCGCAGAGCCCTGCCTGACCCTGATCCAGGAAATTGCCTGTCCTCCTAGCTGTCTCTGCTCCGGGCTCCCCCACGTGCGTGGCTAGATGAAAGCCAAGTTCCAGCACAAACTATTTTCTTGGGGGAAATTTAATTTTCTCCTGGTTTGATTTACTGCCCAAATTCAGCTGTGAGCAGCCAGGCATGTTCCTGCCCTGGTCACTGCACTTCATTAAAACAGCCCACTGCCCCCAGGCTGGGCTGCGGCTCCAGCCCCCCTCCTCCCCTGCAGTTCCCAGCCTCGGAGCCGAGGGCTGGGAACAGCCATGCTGCCGTGGGGGGTCACACGCCTGAGGACATGGCCACAGCTGCAGTGCACCACTGCTGGGCCTTGTGAGGCCCCCCGAGCCTCCTGTACCCACCGATGGGGGCTCGGGGTCCTGGCGGCTGGGACGAAGATGAGCCCCAGCCAGCTGACACATTAGACAAGGAAACAGGTCTGGGAGAGCCAGAGGCTTCGTTCTCAGCGCTAATTCCTAGTTCTCACCCTCTGCTATTCAGGAGGCCCATGGCTGCCTGGCCAGCCGCCCTGGGACACTAGTCCAGAAACAAGGGGCAGAGCCTGGGGCCCAGCTGGAGGGAAACGCCGAGCCGGGAGTCTCTGGGAGGGAGCCTGGTGCAAAAGTCTCCTGCCCAGCTGCACTCCCAGCACAACACGCTGGGCTCGACCCAGACCCGAAGGCCTCGGCGCTCTCTGGCCAGCATGGCCTGCACAAAGGGGGCAGCTGCCCCTCCTTTCTGCCCCCTGAAGCTGTCGTCAATCCCAGCTATGAACTTGCTGGGACCCGCAGCCCTGGGGCTGTCGCTCAGCCTGTGTGTCCTGTCCAACCCCAGTGGAACCCTGCCTGGATAGATGCCACCAGGTGCCCGCTTTGCCCTGGGCCAGGGGCTCAGATCAGGGGCCAGAGACCAGCACTACGCCCAGGAACTGGGCTTGGAAAGTGACCCTCAGCCCGTGTCAGGGAACCCCCCCTTGCCCCACCGCTGGATCTGGGGGAGGGGCAGTTCCCAGGGCTCCCCCACCTGAGGCATCTGCAGTAGATTTGCAATTATTCTGGGCCATGAGAACAGTGTGAGGCGGCTCCTAGGAACCCCAGTGTGACGAAGTGGGACTGTTCTTAATGTTTCCTCTGAATAGTGTGGGGGTGCCTCAGTTTCCCCTAGGCAGTTCTTAAGTATCTAGGTGGTGGAGTAAGGGTGTATGATCATTGCAGAGCCCTAGAGGGCAGGTATGTGCAGGGGTCTGGACACAGAGAATGGCCGACACCCTGTTTCCTGGCAACTGATGGCCTGGGCCCTTCCCCCCTGCAAGGTGAGAGCTAAAGGGTTGGAGAACAAAGGAATCAGGTGACCTCCTGGCCTGGGAAAGGGACAAAGCCCAGAGGAGGAGGGGCTGGAGGGAGTTGCAGTTTGGGGCTGGTTGGGGACCTGGAGTGAAGTGCAGACGTGGTTGTCTGGCTCACTGCCCCCCAGAATGGACCCAGCTGAGGGGTCCTGTACTCTGCACCTGCAAGCTCTGTTTTAGACCATGTCCCTGTCGTCTAATAAACCTTCTGTTTTACTGGCTGGCTGAGAGTCCCGTCTGACTGCGGAGTTGGGGTTCAGGACCCTCTGGCTTCCCCAGGATCCGGCCTGAGCAGACTCGCCGTGGGAAGCGCACGGAGGGGCAGAGGAGGCTGAATGCTCCGAGGTCAGACCCAGGAAGGTGGAAGCTGGGTGAGCTGTGTGTCCTGCAGACAGGCTGCTCCCAGAAAGGAGACTTCCCCAGAGTCCTGACTGGCTTCATGGGGAGCAGCTCCAGGGCATCGCCCGGGGACCCCGTGACACCCAGGCGGGCACCAGTGCCGCAGGGAGCCGGCATGGCGAGAAGGGGCTGGCGGGGGGCTCGCTGTAGCAATGTACCCGGAGTAGTGAGGCCAGGACCCCGTAGAGCAGCCGGAGCCCAGGGATGGCTCAGACCCATGGCCCCCTAGTACGCTGGGCCTGCTCAGCTGAGGTAGATGCTAGGTGGTTTGGTTCTGCCGACAGCCTCGCCTTCCCTGCAGGGCTGGCAAGAAAGCTCGTGCAGTGGATTCTTGGGGGCCTGGGCTGAGTGATGGGCACCAGCAAACAAGCAATTACCCAGGGCAGACCCAGGGCTGCAGCCGCAGGCCTCTCCCAGATTTAAAGGGGCAGTTTCCCCCAGAGGGGCAAGCGGGAGACGCCATGGGAAGCAGGTACCAGAGGAGCTGGAAGCCAGGGCAGATGCACGGGGGCAGGGCCCACACCGAAGGCCAGAGCTCAGCTGGGTGTGATGCAGGCGTGTCTCCCTTTTACTTGGCTAGTGGGAGGCTCCCCCACTCCAGCAGGAGAGTTCCTGCCTGTGGCTAGAACTGGAGCAGGACTCACTGTGTTGCTCCCTGGTGCCCGGCCCTGAGTTCGGATCGCTCCAGAGTGACTCCAGAGCCAGTCGCCGGCTGGGCTGCTCCCAGCTGAGCCCTGGGCCAGGGAATCTCAGCCCCACAGGTGGCTCCTCAGTGGTGTCCAGCCCCCACGCAGCCCCCTCCATGCGGCTCAGCCGAGGAGCACAGCACGCGGCCCAGGACTCATGCTGCCAAGGGGACACTAGTGGTGGGTGGGGACACGGTTCTCAGTGGAGACAAGCAGCCAGCGCCCAGGCCGGCGCAGGCCTCCTGGGTTGGATCCGGTGTGGGGCGATAGAGGGGACATGCTCCCTCTCCCGGCCTGGGTCTCTGTCTGGCAACTGGTGCCCCCCATGGCAGCGCAGAGCTGATAGTGCAGGGGGAGGGGGACGCTGCTGCTTTTAGCCAAAGCCACACGGGAGGGTGAGTGCATCCCATGCAGAGTCCACGGCGCCCCTGCCCCCATCGCGGCTGCGGGGAGAGCTGTGCGGGGCCACAGGCAGCGGGAGCGGAGACCAGCAAAACCAGCAGCCTCTTTATTCCCGCGCAGTCCCTGAGCAGTAGGGGAGCTTTACCCAGGCCGGGCCGGGAGGTGCTGGAGTGGCCAGGACAGATGTGCGGATTCCTACCCTGGCACGAGGCTGGGCTCAGCTCCAGCCAGGGCCGGAGGAGACACCCCTTATTTTGGAGGGTAGCGAGCGAACGGCGAGTCTTCGGTCATCTTCCCCTGTGAAGGAGAGAGGGGAGGGTGAGCGCCCAGGGCCACTCAGAGAGTCAGTAAGACCCCCGCAGCTGGAGGGCAGCGAGGGGAACGCCTGCAGCAACACCCTGGAGCACAGCAGTGGTGGGGCTGGGCCAGGAACTGCCCGCCCCCGGCCCTCCCCCAGGGCGCTACGGCCTCGGGCTGTTACCGCTGGCGGATCGGCCTGGCCCCAAGCACAGACAGCAGCACCCAGATCGGCGCTGTGTCACCCTGCAGCCCATCTCTGCGGGAACAAGCACTGTGCCCTCTGAGCGCCCCGCGGGCCGGCGGGGGGACGCCCGACCTGTGCCCAGCCCTCGCCCCCATTTAACCCCACCCTGTCCTTCAGGCTCTCTGGCGGCTGTACACAGACCAGCCCTTCTCCTGAGCAGCCCCTCCAGCCCGCTGCGCCAGCTAACACGGGCTAACCTGCTCCTGGTGAGCCCCGGCTGCTTGCAGACTGGGGAGCCCTCTGCCCACACTTCACACCAACACCCCTCCCCGGAGGGGGGCTTGGGGAAGCACAGAGGTCTCCCCAGCCACTGTACAGCAGGGCTCGCAGGCCCCAGCAGCAGCTCACTTTTGGCTGGGGCCCAGAGGCAGGAGCCTCAGTGGAAGAGGGGGCAGCTCGTTCTGCCCCTGCCCCTCTGTGGGATGCTGCAATAGCAGGGCAGAGATGCTAGGACCTGCTACAGGCTGGGACAGATGCACGGACAGCGGGCAGGGACAGGGGCCGTGTCTTCTGCGGAGCTACGCACCATGGGCACCTCATCCAGCTTCCTGAACGCCGGCTCCCTCCTGCGGCAGAGCTTCACCACCACCACGCCTGCAGCAATGAGCAGGATGGCCACGAAGATGCAGATCACGGCCACCAGACCGGGGCTCTGGGAGAGCGTGGGCTGCTCCGGGACAGGCACCTCTGGAGGGGACAGAGCGCTCGGCTTAGACACCTCCCCAGCCCTGCAGTCACACGGCTGAGAACCCTGCTCAGCGGCCCCGGCTCCCCCCGCTGAGACTACACGTGTCCATGACGGGGCAGAGGACACCCTGGCTGCAGGACTGGGCCCTGGCTGGGGGTCAGGAGTTGCATTGCGGGGTGGGGAGAGGCTGGAGACCAGCTCTGGCGAGTCTCAGGAGAGGCCCCCAGAGCCCCGGGATTGCAGATCTGCAGCTTTGTTTTTTTTTTTACTTTTTAAATGAGAGTTTCTCTTGCTTCTGGGTCTGAGGAGTTGGGAAAAGGGACCCCCAGGCACAGAAACGCCAGGCAGAAACCCCCGAGCTCCTACAGCTGTGGATTGTTCTAATCCTTTTGTGCGATTTCCGGCGGGGCCAGGCGTTCTGCTCTACAGATATAACTGCACACACCTAGGAGACGCTCCGTGGGGCAGGGCACAGAGGAGCCAGGAGGGCGCTGCCCATGTGATCGGTCATCTCACCCGCCCAGGTACCCACCCACTTTGCTGGAACACCTGTCTCCTCCACCTTGAGGCCTGGGATCGCTGCGCCATCTGGTGGTGAGAGCTAGACAGCGACCCCCGCTGAAGGAAACCCATGCGCCTCACCCACCCTGCGCACCCACCCTGCGCGCCCAGCAGTCGGCAGGCCTGTCCCGTGACCAGTGCTTGGTGCAGGGCGGCCCTGGGAGCCCCGTAGCGGCCAGTGTGGTTCCGTGGCCTGAGGGCAGTGACCACGGCTCGCCTTAGAGGCGCTGGCTGGCTCCAGGGCTCGGGGCTGCCATATGGAGGGCGGAAGTGACTGACCACTGCCATCCTTTGCCAAAGCCCAGGGTGAGCACCAGCCTCCCCTGGTGGCAGTCTCTGGGGAGATGCCAAGGACTCAGGGGGTTCCCCGGGGGCAGGGGAGGCAAGCTTGCCTTGTTACTGCTGGGCTGCTCCTGTCCTGGGGCCAGAGGCCTGCAGAGCCTTTTGCCTGGTGCCTCTCGCCCCCGTTAAAAGAGGCTGCATGTCCCTGCACCCCGGTTCTTACCCGAGCCACTGGCCGTTGTGCCGTTGTTGGACTCAGTCGTGTGGCTCTCACTGGAGCTGGCAGCAGGAGTACTGGAGGTGTAGGGGTGACCGGGGCTGGCTGGGGACAGGGGCGGGCTGGAAGCAGATTCTGGGTTTCTGGACGAGGCCGGAGCTGCTGCTGTGGTTCTGTACTGCGTGGATGCAGCGGTGCTGTCGGCCGGGGCAGCGGGAAGGGAGGTGTCTCCGGAGGCAGCCAGGGAGCTCTGCCGAGGGGTAGTCGCGGTGGCGGGGTGCTGGCTGGACGCGGACAGGGAGCTCTGCCGAGGGGTAGTCGCGGTGGCGGGGTGCTGGCTGGACGCGATTGGTTGGGAGACAGTTGTGGCAGTAAGGTCCCTCACTGAGGAAGGGGAATCAGAGTTACCAGGTTTGCTCTGAAGATTTCACTCAAGCCGAGGGCGCTGTGCTCCGTGATACCCCAGTGCTGCGGGGGCATTCCCAGCTCACCCCGCTCGGCCCAGGATGATCCCAGCACTAGGAGGGGAGGCCCGGTGGCAAGGGTGTGTTTGCAGATAAGCCAGTAAGCTGAGGGCCCCCACGTCAGATCACGTTCATGCTAGCATCAGCCTGGGACCTCTGCCCCCCTCCCCAAGGGCCTTTCCTAGCCTGTTAGCAGCTTTCCTGCTACCTGGTGTTTGAGTCCAGGCTGCTGGAGACAAGCCCTTAGGAGACACTTGCAGGGTCCAGCGAGGAGCTCAGCCCGCGGGTCGGGACAAGCTTGAAATGGAACCGCTTGCCCCTCGCCACTCACTAAAGGGAGCCCAGTGTTTGTGGAGTCTCGTAACTTTTAACTCATCTCATGGCTTGTTGTCTGCATTCCTAGCACCTCCTGCCCCAGCTGAGATCCACTGCCTGGAGGGGGGGCCCAGGGCTCTGTCTGCAGGCTGCCTCCCTGCTCCAGAGCACCACCTCAGCCCGAGACGCCTAGCACTGCCCTGCCAGTTCAGCCCTTCCTGGGGGCAGAGGCTGCTCAACGACACCATCTAGCCTCAGGCTGTCATGGAAATGCTGCCAGGCTGGGCTCTGGCCTTGCTGCTGAGGGAGGCAGGCCCGCATCCCAGACAGCAGCTCTGCGCCCTGCAGGGACAGGCTGTGGTCTCAGGGCTGGCTCCCCAGGGGCAGCAGCTGCCCTTGCCATGGCACAAACACTGCGTTGATTTTATAGACCTCTATCATATCTCCCTTAGCCGTCTCTTTTCCAAGCTGAAAAGTCCCAGTCTTATTAATCTTTCCTCATATGGAAGCTGTTCCATGCCCCTAATCATTTTTGTTGCTCTTTTCTGAACCTTTTCCAGTTCCACTATATATTTTTGAGATGGGGCGACCACATCTGCATGCACTAGTCAAGCTGTGGGTGTCTCATGGATTTATACAGAGGCAACAGGATATTTTATGTCCTATTATCTCTCCCTTTCTTAACGATGCCCAACATTCTTTCGCTTTTGTGACGGCCGATGCACATTGAGTGGATGTTTGCAGAGAACTCTCCACCATGACTCCAAGCTCTCTCTTGAGTGGTAACAGCTAATTTAGATCCCATCATTTTATATGTATAGTTGGGATTCTGTTTTCCAATGTGCATGACTTTGCATTTGTCAACATTTAATTTCATCTGCCATTTTGTTGCCCAGTCACCCAGTTTTGAGAGATCCTTTTGTACATCTTTGCAGTCTGCCTGGGACTTAACTAACTTGACTAGTTTTGTATCATCTACAAATTCTGCCACCTCACTGTTTACCCCCTTTTCCAGGTCATTTATGAATATGTTGAATAGGCCTGGTCCCAGTACAGACCCCTGGGGGACATTGCTATTTACCTCTCTCCATTCTGAAAACTGACCATTTATTCCTACCCTTTATTTCCTATCTTTTAACCAGTTACCAGTGCATGAGAGGACCTTCCCTCTTATCCCATGACAGCTGACTTTGCTTAAGAGCCTTTGGTGAGGGACCTTGTCAAAGGCTTTCTGAAAATCTAAGTACACTTGTCCACATGCTTGTTGACTCCCTCAAAGAATTATAGTAGATTGGTGAGGCATGATTTCCCTTTACAAAAACCATGTTCACTCTTCCCCAACAAATTATGTTCATCTACGTGTCTGACAATTTTGTTCAGTACCAGGCAAAATGGTTGAAACTATAGTAAAGAAGTCAGATTTACCGGCCTGTAATTGCCGGGATCACCTCTGATTTAAACAATATGTTACAAACCACAGTTATTAGTTCTGCCATTGTTAATATCCTTGACGCTGTGGGGGGAAGCCAGGGCCTTGCTGCGGGATAACAAGGCTTCTTAGGGGTGCTGCGGGGATTCAGGAGTGTGTGTATGCAGAGGCGGGGGTGTGTGTGAGTGCTCCCAGCTGGAGCGTGCCCAGGAGTGGCACTAGACACCCCCCACTCCCTTTGCTGGGAGTGACTGCCCGGGCTGATGGGACAGGAAAGTCCCCAGGGCTGTGATGGGCAGGGGAATGGAGGGAGGTTTAATCAGCAAAATCCTGCCTCTCGCTCAGCCCAAGGGGAAATGCCCCCGGGTAGTCAGGCGACTAGCTGGGCACAACCTCTGGCCTGTAGCTCCTCTCCCCACCCCCCTAGGAACACTGCCTGGGGCCCTGTGGGCATGGCCGTAGGCACCTTCACTAGCAGGGAAAACCCCAGCCCTCCCCACTGCCCCCAACCCCACATTGCCCCTGTCACGGCATTCAGCACCCCACAGACGCGAGTTCCCTGGAGGCTGCGCCATGAGCCCCGTGCTGGGGGCGGGGCGTTTCCTCCCTGGGACGAGGACACAGATGCTGCACAAGATTTAAAGGACCAGCCCCAGGCTGCAGAGGAGACAAGCTGGAGAGTGGGCTGCCGTGACCCCTTCCTCCCCCTCTCAGCGCCACGGGCTCTGTGCCCCACACAAGGGGTGGCAACAGGCACCACTGCTCCTGCACCTGACCAGCTGCTGCGAGGATTCCCAGAGCCGGCGGGAGGCCGAGGCCCACGCAGGCAAGCGCATGGAGCACACGGGCCACTGAGCCACGGCCTCGATCCATCGACCGGAACAGGCCATGCTCCATCCAGGCCAGTGCCCGGGGGCCAGCCCCGTGGCTTTTCAGAGGGAGGTACAAGAAGCCTCCGAGGAGCAACCCTGAAATAGCTTGTCCCTAGAGCAGTTTCTTCCAAGCCCCAGGCTGCCAGGGGTGGTTTCTGCCCCATCTCATGGCACAGGATTGTTCTTGTTCTCCATAGGGAAGTGCCTAGTCTCTCCCCAACCCCCGCAAAGCAGAGAAATTCACCCAGCGTCTTGACCTCCCTGCCAGCAACTCAATCCTGAAACTGGTTCCTTGGACGTTTCCCCCACAAGAACACAGGGGCTCAGGGTTGAGAGGCCTGAGCACAAGACTGGGAGCCAGGAATGCCCAGATTCTAATCCACTGACTCCCTGGGGGTCCTGGGGCAAGTCACCTGCCTTGGGTGCCCCTCTTTCCCCAGCCCTCCCTAGAGCAGCAGTGAGTGCTGTGCAAATGGCTACAGGTCCCTTCAGTCCCTAGCCCTGCTGAAGCTGGCAGATGTGTAACATGCTCCCATTTCCCAGGCAGGTACAGACTAGGGGGGAGACACCTGTCTTTTGTTGTGTGCACAGCTGGGAACAAGTATCCGATCCTCCACCCAGGCTGCACCCCACCCTCCTGGCTGATGCAAAGTCAATATGTACCCGCCCTCTTTATCCGCACCATTGCGTTTGCTATTCCCAAGCTGCTGCCCTGTTGGCTGTGTGAGCGGCCTGTCCCCACCCTGCAGCAGAGCGGCCAGGGCCCTGGGACTTGCCAGCTGAAGGGAACCCAAATTTTAATGACCAGGATTCTGGTCATGTAGGACCCCCAGGAAGGGTGACCATGGCCCACTTAGGGCAGAGACAGGTGCACCTAGGTGGCAGAACTGGTGGATTTTGAGAGGGAATATTTAGGCCCCCCCAGAATGTTTCACTCACACCCCAAAGCTCCAGCTCACTGGAAAACGAGGTGGATGGGGAGGTCTGGAGTCTCCTTTCATTGCTATGAAAACAAGACCTGTTTGCCCAGGCATCTGTATTTGGCCTCCTGGAGTCTGTGACCCGCAGGGCTGCCAATCCAGGGTGCACGTCCCTGGCACTGCTGCACACCCCCACTCTCACAGCTCCTGAAGAACTGAAGGGGAGGCAGTGTCTGCATTTCACAGGAGATCCATGGGTGCTCTCAGCTACCCTCCACGGCCTCCTGTGATCTCTGCACCAAGCTCAAGCCCTGTCAGATGCATCTCTGCACTCAGTTCAGATTGCAAGAACGGCCACACTGGGTCAGACCAACAGTCCATCGCGCCCAGTGTCCTGTCTCTGACAGTGGCCAGTGCCAGGTGCTTCCGAGGGAATGAACAGACCAGAGCGATTACCGGGTGATCCAGCCCCCGTCGTCCAGTCCCAGCATGTGGCAGTCAGAGGTTCAGGGACCCTCAGCCAGGATGGGCAGGAACCCAACCCCATGCTCTAACAGCCACTGATGGGTCCATCCTCCAGGAACTGCTCTAGTTTGTTTTTGAACCGTTATTTTTTTGGCCTTCATAACATCCCCTGGCAGTGAGTTCCACAGGCTGACTGTGCCTTGTGAGAAGAAGTTAACTTAGTCTGTTCATTAGGAGGCCACCTTGAGGTGAACAAGAGGCCACCCCCGGCAATTTGACAGCTTTAAGAGTAAACTGTCCCTCGGGAGTTTAGGATACAGCAGTTTCCTTCACACTGGTCCCCTAGCACAGGCATCAAGTCAACAACCTGCCCTTCCAACACCTTACAGGTAGACAAACCAGCGGGAGGCCCTGTTTCTGGGTAGGATCTAAGGCAAGTGCTAATTTCCTGTTCAAAATGACTCATTTCTGGAGTGGTGCCTCCCACACCCGATCTCCCTTCAGTTTCAGAAAGGATAATGTTTTAGCCTGGAGGGTTTTCAGTTCCTAAATACAACCCCATTTATTTGCAAGGTTGTTAAGGCTCCGCCAGCCCTTCCAGACACAAGGAATTATTACTCCATTTTTAAATGCCATGACTGTGCCAGAAGCCCTAACCCCATTAAACTGCTGCCACATCCATCATGGGAGGCAAGGCGGAGCCAGAAGAAAGTTTGGGTACTTTCATGTTAAAAGTTTAAATCCAACAAGGGGAAGGCAGCTGAGAGCAGCGGCTGTCCGGGGCCGCTAAGTGTCAGGCAGTTCCGCTGCCAGGAAATCTGGAGGCCCTCGCTGAGCCCGTAGTATGAACAGCCTGGGACAGTGTCTTAGCCCCATCTCACAGAGCGGGAGCAAGGCACAGAGATTAGGTGCTTCCACCACGCTCACCTGGGAAGGTTGGATCAGACCCAAAGAACTGAAGCCCCATTCCAGTGCCTTAGCCCCACAGACTGCCCTGCAGGCCCAGGCCCGCCTAGAGCTAGGCCCCAGGAAATTCACTCTTGACCTCTGACCTGTAAACCACGCCAGCCAACGCATGCCTTGGTAAGGGGCTTTGCCATTCGCGTGATGGCTCATTCACAAGAGACCCACCTGCCACATTAGGATTCCAGGATGGTATCCCTGGCGGAGTGTACCAAGCCACTGCCCGAGCTCAGACCCTTGCACACTCCCGGCCTGGGGCCTGCCAAGGCTTTAATTAAACACCGAGCACGTGGGATGACGATGCTGGAGGGGAGCTCAGCAGCACCGTTAGAGGCAGCGTTCCAGCTAGGAAAGCCACTGAGGAGTCACAGGAGAGCGAGTGGGAGCGTTTGTTCCTTGGCGTTGGGAGAAATTAATTTTGAGACTTGGGAGATAGGGCAGGTTGGTTCCATGCAATGGGCTGCGGGGGGTGGGCAGGGCAGAGAACCTGCGTGGTGGTCGGGGGGGGGGGGGGTGAAACGCAGGACAGAGGAAACAGAATCTGCAAAACCTTCTGTTGCCGGGAGGCACCTGCGAAAGGCAGCGGGAAGCCCTGGGCTGGCTCTGGCTGCATCAGACGAATGCCCCCCCGCCCCGCATCACCAAGAGAGCTGCAGGCACTGCTTGGTACCAAAGCCGGGAACTTTGACAGTCACTTCAGCGGGGCAGAAAAATCTCATGCAGCCCGACGCATGGCCGGCGTTGTGCACGGCCCTGGAGAGACCATCCCTGGACGGCAGTGGGGACAGTGCACATTGAAAGGGCTCAGAAGAGTCACAAGAACAACTCAAGGTTTGGAAAATCTGCTCTGTAGTGGGAGACAAAGGGGGGGGCGGACAAGGGGGGGGGGGAGACAGCTCTTCAGCCTCAGGGGGCTTGATTGGCTGACAAGCTCCTAGGCGGGGAAAGATTTCTGACAGTGGGGGGCTGGAATCTAGCAGGCAAAAGCAGAATGAGAGGCAGTGGCTGGAAGCGAAATGAATTCAGACTGGACAGAAGGAGCTTGTATTGGTCAGGCCCAGGGGATGTGCTGCATTCTCGGTCATTCAGCAGCTAAAATCGAGACTGGGCAGCTTTCCCCAAGAGCTCCTCCCGAGCTCCACCCGACGTTCCGGGCCGGGTGCAGGAACCGCTGCAGGAGGTTCCCCGGCCTGTGCTATGCAGGGGGTCAGCCTCGAGCATCGCGTCTCCTCTGGCCTTAATCCAAGAGCCAGTAACCACTGTCCCTGCACCGGATAGAGCTGGGGGAACCCTAGCCCACTCATCCCAGCCCTAGGACAGAGAGGGCTCTGTGCAGTGCTGCCCCCTTATGGCCAAGGGCTCCATGGCATTGTAGCGGCCAGGCACACAGCCAGCTCTGCTGCCCCTCAGCCTGTCTTTACTGAGCCCAAGCCTGGCACCCGTACGGAGTGACGGAGAGCCCCGTTCAAGAAAGGGGCACAAGGACACGGCCAGCAACCTGGCAAGCGGCCAGAGGCAGTGGCCCAGGGAAGCCCAGTGCATGCAGCAGGTTTGCGCCGTCATCGGGGCACGGCCCAGGGGTGGGGGTGTCACACTCCAGCGTGTGGCAGATGGCAGGGCCCAGGCCCTGCGGAGGCCTCGTGGGAAAACCGTTCCCCATCCCCACGCTGCAGCAGCGCCCCCTAGAGTGCTGTGGAGGGAATCCTGCTGCAGGTCCAGGGAGCCCTCAGAGCAGCAGCTGCCGAGCGGGTTATATGCCATCCTTGCTGCTGTCTCCACACTGCCCCTCTCCTGGAGGAGACGGATTCGTCCCAGCACCGCGGAGCTGTGCAGCCCAAGCCGTGTTCAGCGCCAAAGGCCTTTTCCCTGGGGAAGGGGCGGAAAGCGGCCCGGTTTAGGGAGGGGAACCCCCTCTCCATGGGGAGCAGAGTCCATCCATGCCTGGCTCTGCACCCCAGAATCCGCAATGGATCTCAGCTCCCAGGCCCAGGACAGAAATGGAGGAGCAGAGCAGAGCAGTTTCTGCAGCAACGGTCAGCCACGAAAGGGTTAATAAGACAGCTCTTTCACGGCATGTCAGAGCTGCCCAGTGCACTGAGAGGGACAGTTCTCTGCCCTCCTGACAGCTCACAGCCATCAGCCTTATTGGGATCCAGGAACTGGGCGGGCAAAGCCCACCCACTGCTAAAGGATCCCCCCCCAGCCTAAGGGGGGGTCCACAGGACCTGGAAAACCAAATAATTACGGGGGACAACTAATGAACAACAGGGACAGGAGTGCGGTCAAAGGGTCAAACGAAGGGAACCGGACGGGGACACCGAGCAGAGGACCCCGGACAGCGCCCACTGCTCCTCGAAGGCGTCAAGGGAGTCAGTGGATGCCGTGAGCGCCAGGCAGGCACCACTGCCCCTGGAGGGGGGTGGTCTCCGGAGCTAGGGGAGCTAGATTTTCCATGCAACAACCACTACAGACTATGCGGGGCCATGCACATGGTGGCTGCCGGAGGCAGGACTCCCAGCCAATGGGCAAATATGGCAAACCTCCACCATCAGGAAGACAGGAGCCGAACGAGTCCTGCTGTCAGACCCTCTGCATTACAGGCCTAGCTCTGCCCTTCCATGTTCAAGCACCAGGAGGAAGGCCCAGGGTCCAAGCTGGGGACCGGGATAGTTAGGAATTTGTTAATAAAAGGGACAGGCCAAGCACATTGAGCCTTTGCAACCGGCCAAGCGGGTTTGTCTGCATCTGAGCCCAGGGAGCCTGCAGGGCGCCAGCTCCATTTGCCAGTGTCCTGTAACAAACACACAGGGCTGCTGGCCTGAAGTGTCACTGGTTTAGCGCTGGGGGGCACTGCAGGGGGGACACACTTGCCCCCACCTCACAGCCCTGGGGTAACTAACTCTACGGTGACTTTCTGTCGTCCCCCCCAATTTGGTTTCAAGAACACATGCACCCTGCAGCACAGGGCACTCACACAAAGTGGGGGGTTGGGGGATTGGTGCTGGAGCTGGGGGGGCTGCCGCACCCCCTGCCTCGAAGGGGTTCCCATCATATCCAGGGGTTACAGTTTGGTTCAATGGCTCCCAGCACCCCCACAGTACACGCTGGTCCAGCACCCCAGGGGAGGAGGGGTCTGGCTCGAGAGCACTGGATTCTGGTGCAGGAACAGGGCACAGTCTGGGAACCCTCCCGACGAGCCAGACTCTCCCTGGGGTGACCAGCACCCAGATCCGAGAAGCTTTCGGATTAGAAAGTTTCTTCACTCCCCCCCGACGGTTAATGCTGACCCTGCATTAACTCATCAGACCCCCCCCCCCCGGCTGTCCCCCTCTCCCCGGGGAGCAGGAAGGAAGGAGCCCCCGATGTGCGGGGGCGGCAGACCCCGGGTCTCCCTCCGGGCGGGACCTGCCCCCCAGGGCTGCCCCTCACCTGCGAGCGCCAGGCACAAGCCGCAGCCGATCAGCAGCCAGCGCGTCCCCCGGGCCATGCTGGCGGCGCCGCTCCGGCTCCCGGACACCTGCCGGGATCCTGCCACGCAGGAGGCGCCGCCCCGGGCTCCAGCCCCGCCGCACCTGGGCGGAGACCGGCCGCCGGGCAGCCCCTCAGCCCGGGCCGCTCCCGCCCCCAGGCAGGGCCCGGAGCGGCGCCCGCACCCGGCGAGAGCCAGGCACCAGCCGGGACAGGGCCCCTCGCCCGGGCCGCACCCCAGGGGGCTGGGGACTGCGGGGTTCTGGTTCCCGCTGCGGGAGGAGAGTGGGGTCTAGTGGTTAGAGCGATGCCAGGTGGCCACTGGTGTCCTCTCAGCTGAGCTGCTGCCAAGCGCAGGCCAGAGCCCTTCCCACAGTCAGTCCCAGAGCAGATCTTTCGGGAAAGCAGCGGATCCCACTTTAAACATTGCCAGGGGCATGGCCAGGCTGCCCCTCCCCCCCTTCAGTAAATTGTTCCAGTGGCTAGCTACCCAGCCTGTTAAACATGCAGCCCTTATTTCCTGCCCGGACTCCTGGCGTCTAGTCCCAGCTCTGCTACTAATTTATTCTATGACCTTGGGCAAGTCACTTCCCCACTCTGTGCCTCAGTTTCCGCATCATTCGTATGTGCAGGCAGCCAAAGCTTCCCCTTCCAAAGCCCGTTATCCAGAGCTGGCGTCACCCCCAGGTCCTTCCCAGCTCCCTCCATTTCCCAAACCCCTGGGTGACACCATGTGTGGCCAGCAAGCTCAGTGTGTCCTGCCCCAGCCTATCCCAAAGCTGTTTCCTGTCTGCTCCTTCCTGGGGCAGGGGTAGCCAGAGTTGTTAAGTGGGTTATTTCTCACTCTGGTGCCCTTTGGACCAGCAGCTGCCTAGATTCCTTGAGCCCCCTCCCTAAGGTTCAGGGCTCAAGCCCTTGCTCAGGGGGTGCTCTCCTGGCCTTGCCTGGGCCCTGCGGGGAGGGGAGAAAGCATAGGCATCATGGTTCCTGGCTGTCACTCACTGCAGGGGCTTCGCCCCCTGCCCGAAAAGACACTGGAGACAGCTGAGAGAGGCACCAGAGGCCCTGGCAGGTCCCATGCCAGCAGTTACGTGAGGAATGGCCAGTACATGGCAGAGCCTGGCTGTGAAGGGTGGCTGGAGAGACCTGACCTAGAGCAGTGAGTGGCAGAGACTGGGACACTGAGCTTCCTCCACTCCCACCCACCTGGCACAACCCCGGGCCCAGCTCTCACTAAGCCGGCCCAAGCTTTTGCCCAGTGCCACAGCCCTGCCTGCAAGGGAAAAGCATTGTGGGCCGGTGCTGGACATTTTTGATCAGGCAACTCACAACAAACAGTCCCAGCCAAAGGCGAGAGGCTTCCTCTTGGGTCTGTGATTCTGAATGGCATCCAGGCAGAACAATGTACCAGGGATTAGGAAAAAATGTTTATGCAAGGCTGGGAGGAAAGCTTCCTCCCCACAAACCGCAGCCTGCTGGCTGCCCCAGAGTTCCCCCACACAGCCCGGGACAGCGAGGGGGCAAACAGGGCACAGCATTGCTGCATGCAAAGGGGGGCTTCAGCTACTAGCTCTGCCATCTAGCCCTGTCTGAAGTCAGCTCATCGGCTGTTTTAACAGGGGTATTTTATCTGCATTCCTAAGGGTTGAGCCAAAGTCCCCCCCCCCCCATACTCCCACTGACTTCCCTAAGCTGTGGGTCAGAGCCTCAGGCCAGGAACACACAGCTCCTAGCAGAGTGGGACTCGGCTTGTGGTCGGAACCTGCTCCAGTAACGCAGCTAACGGCCCTAGGATAGCGGAGGAGTAACTGCGGCCAGTCTAGTGAGGGTCTCATTACTAACCCTTCCCCTCAAGGAGCACCTCACCGGCAGGAGGGGGAATGCGCTCTCAACGCCAGCTGAAATTACTGGAGCTCCAGTCTCTAGAGATGACCTAAAAAGAACAGGAGGACTTGTGGCACCTTAGAGACGAACCAATTTATTTGAGCATAAGCTTTCATGAACTACACCTCACTTCATCGGATGCATACTGTGGAAAGAAAAGGAGTACTTGTGGCACCTTAGAGACTAACCAATTTATTTGAGCATGAGCTTTCGTGAGCTACAGCTCACTTCATCAGATGCATGCCGTGGAAACTGCAGCAGACTTTATTTATACACAGAGAATATGAAAAAATACCTCCTCCCACCCCACTGTCCTGCTGGTAATAGCTTATCTAAAGTGATCATCAGGTGGGCCATTTCCAGCACAAATACTGTGGAAAATAGCTCATGCTCAAATAAATTGGTTCGTCTCTAAGGTGCCACAAGTCCTCCTTTTCTTTTTGTGAATACAGACTAACACGGCTGCTACTCCGAAACCTGTGGAGATGACCGGTCATCTTCTTCCTGCCTGAACCCTTGTGCAGTGTCACTCAGTGCTGTCCAAAAGCCATTGTGCTCCACCCCAGAGGTAGCTTCAATAGAGGACCCAGCTATTTCTATAAACAGAGCAGAGCCTGAACCCCCTTCCTCAGATCACTAGGCCGCATTCCCCCACATAATCCTAGTGCTACCCAGCAGCTCTTCTCTAGTGCTTTTCTGCAGCAGATTTGAAAGCGCTTTACAAAGGAGGTCAGTATCCGTGTGACTAGCCCCATGCTTCTCAGACAGCAGCTTCGAGGTATGACAGGGCCCCTCATCTCTGCAGCACTAAGGGCCTGCGGCCCCCAGTTCCCGCTGGCAGGGTGGGGGCTCTGCACTCGGGAAAGCCAGGCCCCACATCAGCAGGGAGTAGCTTAAGGCAGCACCCCATATGAGCTGACTCCACAGCCCATGACCCTGGAGCTGATGCAGCACAAAGAGGGAATGCAGACTCTGGAACCAGCCCCATCGCCTTTAGCAGAGCAATGTTGTGCAGAGTTCAAAGGCAGATGGCCATAGTGACCAGCCCGTGTGACCATTTGAACAATAACTTCACCACTGTGTCCTGCTTCACGTGGTCAAGCCTCCAGCCAGCCATCAACTAACTGATCCTAGCTGGAGCCCCTTGCCCCCAGGGTCCCATGGGGAGTCAGGGCCAGTGCTAGGCTGGGGCAGGGCTGGTTCTAGGAGTCCATTATTGCGGGCGGGGGCAAGTGGGTATTCTGGGGCCCTGGATGTCACCATTTCAAAAATAAGCACCCTGCGAGGAGCCCAGGGGCTAGTCAGAGCTCTGTGGAATCTGGGCTTTTAGGGGTTTACAAAAGCTTTAGTGATTTGGCTTCTGTGTCAGTATTTTGCTGTGATTTATAATTTACATGGAGACTGAAGACTCTCCCATTTGCAGCTGTTCCGATCCTTGACCCTGGATAACCCCCTACGTGCTTTGGCCTGACAATTTTGGATCCCTTGAAGATGGGGGGGGGGTTTAAAATGTCCTCTTCTCCCCCCCCTCCCCCACTGCACTGGGCCTACATGGGATGCATACAGGGAAGTCACTGCTGTGTTTAAAAGGATGCCATGCCCCTGACAAAGGGGCAGGGAAGGGGGGGTGGATTTATGGGGAAAACACCCATTGCAGCCTAGCCAGTCAGTGCACTGGGAGAGGTGCTTGCCCCCCAGCAGGAGGCGTCACCTGCTACATGCATGGATGTGAAAGAGCAAAGCACCTGCAAGCAGGGCCAGGCCTTCTGTGCAGCCCTAGGGTCCTGCAGGAGCAGTTCTGCCCTGTGCCTGCATGTGAGGAGAGCAGGTACCTGACAGTGTCACTATTCACTGCCATGCCCCCTAGGTTTGGGCGGGGGGGGGGGGGAGAGATGATAGCCCTGTCCCTTCTATCTGATCACATACCCCTAAACCTGACCTCACCCTGCAGCATCTCTGTGGAAGGCAAGAGGAAGCCACAGCGGCTCCTGTCCCCAGCCCATCCTTCCCTTCCCTGGGGCCTTCTTGTCATTCAACAGTCATCCTGACCCTGAAAAGTCCCTCAGCTCCCCCCAGGGCCAGCCCCTAGAGAGCCCAGACCCAGCTGCTCTGCCAGGTGTCTGGGCAATCCCACGCGGTGGGTGCTGGGTTTCTCTGAGTGCCCCCCAGCTCCCCCGCTGCCCACCTGCCAGTGCACACACAAACCTGGTGTGACAAAGCGGGGCTGTTCTTAATGTTTCCTCTGAATATTGTGGGGGTGCCTCAGTTTCCCCGATGCAGTTCTTAAGTATCTAGGTGGAGGGGTAAGGATGTATGATCATTGCAGAGCCCTAGAGGGCAGGCGTCTGGACACAGAGAATGGCCGACACCCTGTTTCCTGGCAACTGATGGCCTGGGCCCTTCCCCCCTGCGAGGTGAGAGCTAACGGGTTGGAGAACAAAGGAATCCGGTGACCTCCTGGCCTGGGAAAGGGACAAAGCCCAGAGGAGGAGGGGCTGGAGGGACTTTCAGTTTGGGGCTGGCTAGGACATGGAGTGAAGTGCAGACCTGGTTGTCTGGTTCACTGCCCCCCAAAATGGACCCAGCTGAGGGGTCCTGTTCTCTGCACCTACAAGCTCTGTGTTAGACCATGTTGCTGTCGTCTAATAAACCTTCTGTTTTACTGGTTGGCTGAGAGTCGCATCTGACTGCAGAGTTGGGGGGTAGGACCCTCTGGCTTCCCCAGGACCCCACCTGGGCAGACTCGCTGTGGGAATCGCACGGAGGGGCAGAGGATGCTGAATGCTCCGAGGTCAGACCCAGGAAGGTGGAAGCTGTGTGCGTTGTGTCCTGCAGACAGGCTGCTTACAGAGAGGAGACTTCCCCAGAGTCCTGCCTGGCTTCGTAGGGAGCAGTTCCAGAGCATCGCCCGGGGACGCCGGGACACCTGGCCCTTCACCACTGCTTCCAAAGGGTGGGTGAGCTGGAACGTGCACTCCAGTCTGTGGCTGCTGAGGCTGGGGGGAGTGGACCTGGTGCCATCAGATGCTCTGGGGCAGGGCCTGCCCCCCCCGCTGACTAGGACTGCTTTCACTAGAACACAGGACGGGGGCTGCCAATATAACACCAATCACCCCAGGCAGCAGGGTGGATGCTCCCACAAGTGGGAGGTGGGATGGACAGCCCAGACTGCCAAAGGAGAGGCAGGCGTAGCAGTGTGCTACCTGCCTGTGCATGGTGGAGGAAGGCAGACAGAGCTTTCTCTCTGCAGCTGTCCAGGTAGCAGAGCACTTTGGCCGATGCCCCATGGACAGCAATGGGACAGAGGGGCAGCGGGAAAGCCCAGGTCCGTGGCTCGTGGGTGGGTAGGCAGATGGGAAGGGAGCACTTTGAACCCCACAAGGGGTGGAAAGAATGAAGCACTCAGCCCAGGGCAGTGCCAGCAGCAGACGGGAGATGAAGGCAAGGGAGAGCAAGGGGAGAACAAGCAGCAGGAGGGAGGCAGAGGCTCCAGGCTCTCAGGCTGTGGGGCATGAGCTGACCCCTCAACAATTTTGCTGAGATGCAAAGCCAGGGCCAGGGGCCCAGCTCATAGGACAGGGTCTCAGCCATGCTTCCCTTCAATCGAGGTTACCACTGTTGAGCGCTTGAATGCTACACCCAGACCATGCATTTGGGGCTGACTCCCCAGTGTGGTGAGTGAGGCTCTGGGCCCCAGAGCAACTGGGGTGGGGGGGCTGAGAGAAAGAGGAGAGAGGAGTCCAGCTCTCAAGCAGGGTGTTTAGCTCCACCATCCCTTGTTTCAGGTTGGTTTCAGGACAGAAGCATGGACAAAAACCACTTTTTAGGCTATTTCACTCAGTCTGAGAAAAGCCTTTAGCAGGGTAGGGATTAGTCTGACCCCAGCACCTGCAAACTAAGTAGTTAGGGAAATCCAACCAGCACAATTTCTTCCCCAGCCTTTCCAGGCAAAACCCAAAAGGAGGCTTTCCAGCCATTTTATCCTGTGCAAGCTGTTCTCAGCGTGGGGACCGCTGGCTGGGGCTGGGAAGCGGAGTTCCTGCTCTGGGCTAGCTTTGAGGTTTAATGTACATTGGCTGCAAATGGGTTTTTATTCCCCTCAGTTTTGTTGCCTGTTTAGACAAATGAGGAAGAGACTCAGTGCCAAGCAATCTCCCAGCATAAATTATAAGAGCTT